AAAGGTGGGAATTTTGTAGGTGGGAAGGTGGGAAGGATCTGGTAGGAGTTAAGAATGGAAAGTGAAATCAGAACATACCATATGAAAAATTTGTTTCAATAGAAAAGAAAGGACTATGGGGCTGGAGAGAGAGGTCAGGAGTGAAGAACACTCGTTGCTCTGGCAGAGGACCCACACCCACACGGTGGCTCACAATGCACAGGACTTGGTTCCATCCCCAGCACCCACATGGTGGCTCACAACCATCTCCAACTCCAAGCATATGTGGGGGGCTCTTGCATCAGATAATTATCAGATACTTTTTATCCAGGGGGGATCGGAAAACATAAAAAAAAATTTTAAAACAAGAAATTAAGTACGACTAAACACAGAAACAAGATATTAGCATAATAAAATTTATATGATTTACCACATTACAGAAATATAACTTGCTAAATTTAGCAATGAAGTAAATTTAAAAAAATATTCACGTTGCATGTTTACTTCAAGCTTATAGTTAATTTTTCTTTTGTGAAAACAGTGACTATGGCGTGCCTGGTTGTATAGTAGTAAAGGCTTTCTAAGGATGAAAGCACACAGTGTAAAATAGATATCAAGAAGTCATCACTCCTACTGAGAAGTTTTAAAATGAGCCATCTACCACACGAACCGTTTCTGAAGGCTTACTGCTGTCTTCACATCACCTAGTAACAGCTAACAGCTCTAACCCTGCCCAGAGGATAGACAAAATATAGACCCTCACTGGAACATGTGAGCATTTGATAGGTACCAACTAACCTAATTGTTCGGATCGAAACAACAGAATATCTAATAGCTATGGTGAACATAGGAGACTCGTTCCACCGGCCCTCCTCCTCACTCTTTACTAAGCACGCCTAATTAAAATAGCTTTTCCGGACTCAAATGTTGGCCACCCTTAGGATGTCTTCAAAAAAATTTAATAAGAGGCCAAATGATATATACTGAGCCTACTAACTAACCAACATGCTTAACAACACTAATACAGAAGGTTCTGTGTGCATATGCAGAGGAAAACACAGCGAAATTCTTCAACAGACTCTGAGTCTCCCAAATATGGTGTGTGTGCCTAACAGTGACAGTGAATTTGGCCAACGCTGTCTGTGGAGAGCCCATTACAGTCCAAGCACAGTCAACAGCCTGAGTGACAGCAGAGAGGGATGCGCAGATGTGTGCAGGAATCCAGCCAAACGTTTGGCAGTTCCCATCATGGCCTTGGATTTATTGACAAATGGCCCTTTCTCTTTTTGTCTGCATAGCTAGAGAACGTTAGTTGAGGGCAGATAAGACAGTTAAGTGGTAGTGTGTCTGCTTAGCATAAGTGAGGCCCTAGGTTAAATTCCCAGCACAAAGGGGATTTAAAAAAAAATTTTGAGTGGTAAAAATTTCCCTGTCTTTAAAATGCATAGCCTTAACAATTAGATTGACAAAGGCATGTTATGTCAAATAATATAAACAAAAAAATTGCACAAAAAATTGTCCATTCCACAAAAGTGTCTGTTGGAGCTCTGAAAAATTGTTGGCGGGGTCTGGGGGGAAATTAAGCAGACTATATTGCACTGAACTCTATATTTGTCTTTGAATGTTTCTCACTATAAAATGTTCCTATATAAGGGTTATCTCAAAAGCTGTTGCCTATACATGGGATATGTTCTTCTAGCTGGGCTGCCTTGTCTGGCCTCAGTGAGAAAGGAAGCGCCTACCCTTCCAGAGACTTGAAGTGCCAGGATGAAAGGATACCCTTCTTTCTGATTAGAAGAGAAGGGGAGGGGGAATGGGGCAAGGATTGTGGGAGGGGTGACCGGAAGGGGGGCAGTGAGTGGGATATAAAGTGAATAGTTAAAAAATTAAATTTAAAAGAATTGCAAAAAATAAAATGTTCCTGCAAAAACCTTTAGACTAGATTATTGTAAAAGAAGTGTTATTAAAAGAAAATTAAAAATTTATATATTTTTAGTATTCATTTTTATTTCATGTGTGTATATGACTTTTCTTCATGTAAATTTTACCACATGCATGCAGTGCTCATGGGGGTCAGAAGAGGGACTCAGATCTTCAGGAACTGGAGTTATAGCTAGTTCTTAGCCATATGGGCACTGGGAATCAAACCCTGGGTCCTCTGCAAGAGCAGCAGGTGCTCTTAACTGCTACACCATCTCTCCAGCTTCCACGATTTATATTTTAAAATACAGTCTCTAAATATATTTCATAAATGTCAGTTCATACTTGTTCTCAGCAAGAAACAAAGCACATATCTACTTTACAAATGCTGTAATAATCACATTTCATTCTAGTCACTCTGTCTCAAAGCCCTTCAGCATTCTCAACGCTGTCTACCTGAATGCTCTGTCAAAGGAGAAAGCACGGGAGCTGAGAAAGCATGGAATTCTCCTTCAGATAATTTGCAATTCAATATGGGTACAACTGCAACAAACGTATACACTACAAAATAAAACTATTCTATAACCGTCTCTAATTGTGTGTCGATACAAAATAATGCTGCTGAGTGTTTGGAGGAATTATTATATTCTTCACATACAGCTGTAATAAGTAAATTTGTGCTAAGTAAAACTGGCAAGACATCCCATGAGACTCATTGTATAAGCTTACCATTTTATTAATAAAGAATCTAAGATCTTAGAAAAGTTCATGACTGGATCAAATGTATTCAGTTAGCGTCTGAACCACTATGTGGATAGGGCCACATCAGAACTGTCACTAGATCCACACTTTGCACATGCTTTCATGTTAAGTAAGACTTTTGATATAAAGTAATGGAATTTGATCATTACCACATTCCCACCATATAATATGGAAGCTGATATTCACTACGAGCATACTTTGTGGTAGGCAGTTCTCTACACTACATATACACTAAGCTAAACAGATTCATCAAAACCCTGTAAGGAAGGATTCTACCTCACCCCATTTTACAGATGAAAAGACTGAGGCTCAGATTAAATCAAGTAAATTGCTCAAGATAACCTAGCTAGCAGGTACAGGAATCAGGACTGAAAGCCAGAACATGTCACTCCAGGACACATGACGTTGCTGAGGGGAGGGGAAGGAATATAGAGCAGAGAAAGAAGCTGAAGAGATAGCTCAACAAAGAGAGATATATCCTTGCTCTTGTAGGGTAGAGAAGTTCAGTTCCCACTACCCACACCTGAGGGCTTACCACGATGTGGATCAGATGTCTCTGACCTCCAAGAGCACCTGAACCCATGTGTATACACACACAGACACACACACACACACACACACACACACACACACACACACTGCTACTACTACTAAAAATAATAAAAAATACTCAACCAAAAATAGCAAAGGAAGGTAACAAGAGTGTCTTCTGACACAGGCCGGTCATTTTCAGAGGCTCAGTGTAACCAGCTGAGGTGTAAGGAGAAGAAAGTGCTGGAGGCCCATCAGGCTGGGGTCCTCATCTCCCACTGAGGAGAAAGAGCCCAGATGGCTACACCAGTCTGATGTGGGGAGTATGAGACAAAATAGATAAAAGTGATGACCTTGTTAAGAAAAACTGAAGTTCCCAATTCATTTGTTCTGAGAAGAAACTTAAAGTCATTAAAGGACGTGGAAGAGGCATGGTAATACCCTTCCCCCCAACTGATAGCCCACCAAGGCCAAAGTACCTATCACACCGGAAGACATAACATAATTATTGGTGGAAAAAAAACCCGACTCAATGTTTTCAGTCTTCTTCTTTCCCATAAATTGGCATTTATACTTCTGTATCCCCTTGAGATTCTTTAAAAAAAAAAAAAAACTTCCGCTGGAGTGGAGGCTCGGAAGGGAGATGTAATTAGCATAGCATGTTCCTCATTAGTTTTCATGCTGGGACACCATGGTGCTCCTGGTCAGTTTATACATAGCTCTTTCTCAGAATGATAGCAAATCAGATGAAGAAAATTACAATAGAAGTCCATCCAAGTGAATAAGTAAGCTGAAACCCAGAGTACATCTTAAAAGTAGAATCTGAAAATCCATTTACCAGAGCGGAGGACAAAGGCAATGAATGATGCCTGACATCCTTAAGTGGCATGTCTTAAAAGATATATTCATCGAGGAAAACTAAGTCTAATGGAATTTCCTCTCATTACTTAAAATAAACCAGGTCACTGAGATGGGACTGCATTGTGATATTCTGTTCCTTTTGATTCCAGTTTAATTTCATCAAATCATAAACTCCCTCAGAAATATCGTAGGCATCTTAGTCACTATAATTCCAGTGTTTCGGTATATATGTACTTTTGTTTGATTTTAAACAAAATAATCGTAATCATAATCATCATAATGTGGGCACACTGCTCCAAGTTGTTTTTTTTTTAACTTATGTCAACAGCTTTCAGGATGAAGTATCTCTGTTGCTATAAGCTGAAGGTGTAAAATATTTTGAATGATCTGGTAGGAAGCTTAATTCAGAAGACGAAGAAAAGGCCTAGCCTACACATATCAAAACCAAGCTAACTTCCTAGATTACAGCAACGATCTCTTCCTACTTCCCAAAGCCACAGAAGTTAAATATACCCCGATGTATTAAGTTCAGCTGTAACTACAACTGTAATATACATTCAACTGAACCATGACCCATTTTTTTTTGTCTCAGAAGTGAAAGGGAATTATGACAGCTATGAGACTTGCATTTTTTCCATTCTAAGATCCTTCTAAAAGGATTTCAGCATGGCCCCTCATGACATTTATTTGCTTTGCAACATATATATTTATATCACTGCTTAGAAGACAGCATTTTAATAACTCATTGATAACAATTATATTTTTCACTTACTTTCAAATTAAGACCAAGAGGCCTTTGACAAGGAAAAAATACGAGTATGTAACATGATACCTAACTCTAAAATTCGATTATAACTACATGTTACAATTACTTAGAAGACACCAACAATTCACACAACAAACACAAAATTAACATATATAAATAAATGTGGTTTAAAAATACCTACCCCTAGCAGAAAGCTTTTTGGTGTTGATAATTTTGGCAGCATACTCTTGTCCAGTAGGGATTTTCATACATCTTCTCACCACTGAGAATGCCCCCCTGGAAACCAATAATTAGCAAGTCATCAGTATAATCAGATCTAGTATCTACTTACAAACTCGCAAATCTGAGCTGTTTTATAAGTCTTTAGTGGTCTTGTCAAATATCAATATAATAAAAGCATTATCTAGAATATGAACAATTCTTTCCTGACAACCCAGATCCTTTTTAATGTTGTGGAATAAAAGTAATTTTAATTGACTGGAAACACACAGATTATTAATCAACAAAATTGAAGGAAATGCCAATTATGACCACTCTTGTTTGCACATGAAATTTGAAAACAATTTATAATTCACACTCACAAAACACCAAATGCTCATAGCAAACCCTGCAAAGAGCAGAGCCGGGGAACAGAAGAAGAAGAAGAAAAAAAAAGGCTGCATGTTTATTTCGGTAAAAAACATAATTAACGTGGTTCTAAGTAAGTAAATATGGCGATTGTTTTCATTAAAACATAAATCTCAAGCTCACTGGTGTGCTTTAACAGGTCCTGGGGTAAGGTGATTTCTCTCTGCCTGGTTTGGGCTGGGGGAGGGGAGAGATTTGAATTAAGCTGCTCTTCCGACATGTCTCCATGTTTCAACAGCAGATCATCTATAAAGATATCATTTTCATTTGATTTAAAAATGCTCACACTTCCTTTTATGCAACTGTACGAAAACCTACAGCACACACACAAATGCATCCTTTTTCTGATAGTGGAGATTAGCGATAGGTTTGGGGTTTGATGCTTGGTAAACCAACACTCCTGGGCTGGGTCTCTGGTTGCCCCTGTGCAGATCTTCAGTAGGTACCCTCTCTCTCCTTAACATCTCAAGGAAGTTCTGGCACTTCAGTTTCAGTCGTTTTACACAAGCTAGGCTACCCTGGGGAAGCGCTGTCCGGGGCTCCAGGGCTTTCCTCTGCCTGAATAAATAAATCCTCTCAGAAATGAAGTACACTACACGTAAATCCTAGAATGATGGTGAGCGAGTCATCTTAGTGCAAAGAAGGATAGCGGATACAGAGCAGGGGCGTTGGGTTCTGTTGGGTGGCCCTTTTCCTGGACGGAACAACTACTTGGATGCCGAACCAGACTCTCCACCAAGCCAAGTTGAACTTTCGGCATCGATAAATATGGCACCATCTCGGAGAGCGAGTGCTCATTAGCTCATCCGAACCTGGGTCAGATCGCGGATATAACGCGGGCTGAGCAAGAGACATCTATTTACCCAAAATGTGATAAATGTTGCACTTTACATGCATCTCTTTTCCTCTCTGAATACACACACACACATTCACCCTCGCGTGCGCGCACACTTCTCAGGATGACAGCTACAACTGCAGAGATCGTAAATTCACTAAGTCTCCGGTGGAGAGGTGGAGGACCCGAGGAGATGGGCTGGGGATTCGGGACACCCGCCACAGTAGGGCAAAGGTTTCCTCCTCTCTGTGCTCCACCCGCACTAAGCCAGGGTCTGTCACCCCGCCTCGGCCGGCGGGCTCCCTGTCCCCACGAGGGAGACGAAGGGTCGCGGGGAGGAGATGTCGGGCAGGGACGCTTACTTTCCGAGCTCCTCGAAGAGCTGATACTCGTCGGTGAACCGGGTGCAGGTGGTAGTCGAAGCCATGGCGGAGTCTGGACCGTGCGACGGGCGACACGCGAACAGACTCGGCTTCCCGGGACTGGCGCCGCCGCGCTGTCACCCGGGGCCGCCCTCACTTTCCTTGTCCGAAAGTAGCTCGCCGGCGAGGGAGTGCGCGCAGGGGCGGGGCGCGCGGGGCTAGGTGGCCAGACCAGCCCGCGCCGCGATCCCTCCTCCTCCTCCTCCTTTGGCCGAGGCCGACGGGCAGAGCGCTCCCGAAGGGGCAGGGGGGGGGAGTGACAGGAGGGGCTGCCGCGGTCACCGAGGCCGCGCGGAGAGCTCTGCGCAGCGCCCGGGGTGGCGGGTGGCGGCCGAGAGTGAACACCCAGCCGGTGGCTCCTGCGGGCGGGGGCGGCTCTGGTGGCCCGCGCTCCCTCCCCACGGGGCCGCAAGGCTGGTAACCCGCGGGGCGACAGAGTGCGCTCGCTCGGCTCGGGCGAAGCTGGCAGTGGCGGCTCCTCCCCGGCGCCTCCTCCCGCCTCTCCCCGCCCAGCGAAGCCCCCTCCTCGCCGGCCCCACACCTCCCTCTAGCGACTCCAGCCGCGTCCCTCCAGGCTGCTCTCCCGCCGCCGTCTAGGGAGACCGGAGGGAGATGTGCGGAGCAGCGAGGAGCGCGCTTAAGGGGACGGGACGGAGATGTCGCAGTGACCCACGAAGGGACGGAAAGATGAGGGACAGCTCGCAGCACCTACACCCGGGATGTCTCTACCCCGGCGGGATGGTCGCGGTGCCGGGGAAGCAGAGAGAGGGGTGCAACCCTTGCATCTGGGCGCGGTTTGCTTTTACTGCTCCCAGACCCGGGTCCTACGTCCTCCTGGCTCGCAGCGACAGCGGGGGGCTGTCAGCCCCAGCCACCTCTGCTGCGCCCAGATGTCCCTTAGCTAGGGGCAAGGATGGTCAAGGGACCACATTTCGCTTCAGTTTTTACTGTCACCTCTTCGTCCTCCTCTCCCGTTGTTTTCCCGACTAGGGTGATCCCCGTAAGCATTTGCTTGGCTATAAATCCTAACATAATGAAAGCCAAAAGTGCACCACTCTGCCACACCTTCCTTCCTCTCCCGAGTAACTCCCCTGTAACCTCAGCAAGTTCTGATAGTAAGAAGGGTTCTCGCGAGACGTCCCACGCTGGTGGCGAGGGGGTGGGGCGGTAGGAAGGTTGGCTGTGGGTCACGCGACCCAGAGGGGGCTGACGTCATTAGCATCACGTGAGGGTGTCTAGCCTGTTTCGCTTTGCGGAGAGAGAAGGGAGAGAGAGGGAGAGGGAGGTCGGGAATTCTTACATTCTCAGAGAGCAGGCTAGGTAGGGGCACAGGAATGTTCCCTATCTGGAAAGCCATTTAAGAGTTCAAGAACGTGTGTACAATTAAGCGTATCTGTCACTGTTGCTTAAAAATTAGCACGGAGAAAAAAATTAGCATGTAAGATAGATAAGTTGTAACTGATTGCTAAGATCATTTCTGGGCCTTCTTTCCAGTTCTGAGTCTTTAATAAATGAGGCAATTGCAGATTGAGAGGCCTACGGAAAATAGAGAAGCATCATGAACTTATAAAATTTTTCTTCAGATTGTTGCTTTTTGTTCTACTGCAGGAAACCATAACATCCTGCATTTCTATTGGTTATTTGCTCGTGCTTAGAATCACATCATGGACTTAACATTTCACAGCGGGAGGATGATAGATAACTTTCAGTTAGGGAGCCCTTACAGCCTTTTTTGTTGCCTTTTATGGGCGGCTATTAACTTATTACCTTGACCACTGTCAGGAGTGTTCCCGGTTCTTTTATTGTCGGTCCTAAAGAATGCTATGAGTGGCCTTTGAACTGAAGTACTCAAGATGGTCATAAAAATCTTAAATGCGTTTTTTTGTTACAGATTTTGCAAATATTGCTCATACTTCTAATAGCCCTCTCCCACTCAACACAAGAAAATACTTTTTGCATTTAGTCATCATTCAATGTCTGCATTGTTTTGCCCATGAAAATGTCATTCATTGGCCTGTTTTACTATAATTTTCCCTTCAATTTTACTTACATCATTTGATGTTCTTCCCACACATTAGATTCCTAGTGCGGGTTGTTGACGTTGCCAAGCACAAGGTACCTGCATGTGTCCTACTTTTCCTAGACCTCTGCTGTTCCGTTGTCACCGTGGAACATCTTTAGAAGCTTATTGGAAGTTCCTCTGTGGTTTTTATGTAGCTTTGATTCCTTTTTGTTTTTTAAAGTAAATCTTGTCTTTTATGTCCTTAAATTTGAACAGTTTTGTTTGGGACAGGGTCTCAGTATGTCTCCTTGAATGGCATGGAATTCACTATGTAAACCAGGCTGGGCCTCAAACTCAGAGATCCACCTGCCTCTGCCTCCCTAGCCTCTGGCTGAGGTGCATAAAGCACCATGCCTGGCTAAATTTGAACATTTTTAATAAAAAAAAATTGAAATGCATTCAGGTCTTAAATCCTGGCTATAAAAGACAAGGATTACCTGGTATAAATGCAGTGACAAAGGAAAAGAAAAAGATAATACTAAAAAGTTAAAAGGAGAAAAATAGTGTTTAAGTGTTAATAACCAAGCTAAAAATTGAAAGGAAGAAATAATTTGGTCTTGACTAAACATATTTTATTATATAGCTTAAACATCGGACTATCAGTTATAATGGAATAATTTAATCTTCTTTCCTAAATCTAAAAGTGAAAACAAAAATAAAATTTTAAAAATGAGCGTAGTAAATTTTTTACAGCTAGAAAGAAACTTGTTCCTTAAATATCAATGCAGTGAAGTCTACATAATTACAGTATTTAACTCAGCTGTTTAAAATAACGGTAATTGTAAATGGCTAGAGTAATTTTGAGTCTAATAAAAAAGTAACTGCATTTGATGTATCATTATCAAGTTAGTATTTGTAGAGAAGAACCTTTTATATTTTATACTTTCTACAAACAGTGTTTAATCTACATGTGCTCTGTTGTTTGTTCTGTTTCATATTCTCATTAAAATATTTTTTTGTTTTTTTCTTTGTTTTTATGTTTTTGTTTTTCAAGACAGGGTCTCTCTGTGTAGCCCTGGCTGTCCTGGAACTCACTCTGTAGACCAGGCTGGCCTCGAACTCAGAAATCTGCCTGTCTCTGCCTCCCAAGTGCTAGGATAAAAGGCATGTGCCAATATTGCCCGGCTTAAAATATTTCTTTTATTTACAAAATTCACAACTATTTCTAAAGTTAGGACCTCCTTAAGATACTAATGAGATTGTTCTTTGGGGGTTTTTTTTTTGTTTTTTTCTTTTCTTTTTTTGTTTTTTGTTTGTTTGTTTGTTTGTTTTGGTTGTGAGCCTAGCCTTTAATGGCTGAACCATCTCTCCAGTCCTGATTATATTTTCTTTTAATTCTAATTCATCACTTTAGGAATACTTGCAAAATGGTTAAATTTTTAAAAGGCATACTTGAGGCTGGAGAGATGGCTCAGTGGTTAAGAGCTCTGACTGCTCTTTCGGAGGACCTGAGTTCAATTCCCAGCAACCACATGGTGGCTCACAACCATCTGTAATGGAATCCAACGCCCTGTTCTGGTGTGTCTGAAGACAGCAACAGTGTACCCATAAACATAAAATAAAAGACATACTTATAAACAGAGTGACTTGAATTTAGTGTCAAATGTGTTTATCTTGAGTCAAGTGACCTTACCTGGGTATTCCAGTGAACCGAGAGGAATGAAGGAGTAATTAAAAAGGGGGCTCTTAAAAATTACTCATGAAACTTGGTTAAAACAGTAAAACAGATTTTCTTCAAACTGGATTGTGGTGACAGGATAGTTGTAACTTATCTTCTCAGCTCCAAATCAAAAGAGGACAAGCAAAGATTTACAACCAAGGAGCACAGGGGAAGCCAGTGGATGTAAGTACTGAGGTTTTTCTTCCTCTTATCTCATTTTGCTACATGGAATTAAAAGTTTCAAAACTTTAGTATTCTTACTCAGAATAGACAAGAGTCTAATGAACATGGTATACTAAGACTTAGCATTCACTGGTTTTTTTCTTCAGACTAACCATCCAGGAAGCACAGCACTTCTTTTACCCTTTTACAAAGGGTAAAAGAGTTTATTCTGGAGCCAAATATGAGTTATCGTTGACCAGAAACACTGGTTATCTTAATTTCCATGTTACAGTGTAGTTAATAGTTTAGTGAAATTGTATGTTAACTAAACAAAGTAAACCATAGATCAAAGCACTTTCCAAAAACCTTGGTGGAGACATCAGGTGGGAAGATAACAAAAAGAGCCAGGGAACCTCAACTCTAGGCCTCAGATGCGATCCGATATCAGTCTTTGCCTTTTGATTGACAGAAACTAAGGGTCTGCTTGCACAGTCCCAAAGAGTGAGCTAATCGTCACAAAGATACTAGGTCACATACAGAGGAGGGTAATAAGTGGCTATGGAGGCCAAGATAGAGCAAGATAATTTGTAATTAGGTCCTTGATCTTCACCATTCCAATGTCTCTGCAATCACTAAAGCTCTAATCAGATCCTTGCCAGGCAAGCAAGGGTGTGACAACAGGCTAGCTCTTTCTGAGCCTGGGTTACCTCAATAAATTGTACTAATTTAGAATTCCATCCATTTTCCTGAGATTTCCCTTTTTCCTTTTCATTTTTTTTAATTGGGTATTTTCTTTATCTTCTCCTTTTTAAATATTCTTATTCTTTGAAAATTTTCCACATTGTGTTTTGATCATATTTACCCTTACCAACTCCTCCCAGATCCATCTTCCATTCCACACCCTGTAACTGTGTGTCCTCAATCTTTAAAAAAGTCCTATCAAGTTCAGTTAGTGTTGCCTGTTTACTCTTGGATATGTCGCCATCCACTGGGGCATGGACCATACCCTTATGTTAAAAAAAAAAAAACCTCTCTCCCACTGAAGGTATTAACTAGCACTATTTCCCCAGTTAGGGGTGAGACTTCATGACCACCTCTGCCCTCCACGCTGGGATTTTGTGTGGCTCCAGCTTGTACAGGTCTACTGCACACTGTCACGCTGTGAATTCATATGTGCAACTGTCCTGTTGTATCCAAAAAAAAAAAAACCACTGTCCTTAAAGTCACCCACTGCCTGTCACTCTTAGTCTTTCTGCCCCTCTCCTCCAATGACGCTTGGCCCTTGGGAGGAGCAGGGGTGATATAGATGATTTAGGCTCACCTATTTATGACTGAGTACTCCATGATCACTTATCTTCTGTACCTTGAACAGTTTTGAGTTTCAGTGCTAGTCAACATCTACTCTAAAAAAAAGAAATTTCTCTAGTGAGGTTTGAGAGGTACACTGTATCACAATAAGTCATTAGGATTCAATGTCATCCTGCGTCTCTTTTTCGGAGGAAATAGCAGTTGATTCTCCACCAGGGTCTATGACTGTCTAGTCTTAGGATCTTGGCCTCAATAATCGTGCCAAGTATGGGTTCCATATTGTGAAGAGGGCTATAAAACA